GGGAAGTTGGGTGATGAGGGCTATGTCTCTGTTGTCTTTATAAAGCTTCCTCCAAATACTCCATACTGGGACCAAGTACTAGGGAGGTAGATTTTCATAGGTTTGGGGGTTTTTTCTTACTATGGTGCTGATGTATATGTAAAGTTTAAAAAAAAAAAAGGTAATTTGTAAATATGTTTTTACAATTCTGCAGATATCACTGGGTCTACTATCTGTAAAATATATACATATAAATATATATATATAAATATATATATACTGTTTGTTTAAAATAGAGTATTTTTATTTCATTCCTTAACTCATCCTTACTGCAGTGGTATTGCACTTCAGATGACGTCTAATTACTAATTTGTACTGTATCCCAGACAGCAACTTGCTCCATTTTATTCAGATTTTTCTAGTTTTCTGTTTTTACTTTGTACATTAAGCATTGCTTATTTCCTTTTGAGACCTGTACAGAGCTCTGAAAATGTAGAAATGACCTGATGTTAACATACCACTTTTAAAGAAAAAAACAAAAACAAATAAAAGATTGTTATCTGAATTTAAAAACAGGTTGATTTGGAAAGTTCTCCCTCACAGAACCTCAGAGTCACCATAGTACCAGGTACTAGCACTATTAGCTTAGGGCTTTGGTGGAAGGAGAGTAATCTACTTTAAAATAAGGGGTTGGGGTTTAGGAGCTATTTTATCCGGTTGTGTAGCCATAAGTTAATCAGTAGATAGAAAGAGGCAGAATCTGTCTGGGTTTCTGGTTGCAGGAACGAACCAATAGTTTTGTTCTGCCATCGGTCTCTGTGGAGCTACATAGTAGTTAACACTGCCAAAACTTTTAATTGTAAGTCATTTTCACACTTTCCGGAGCACTCATTTTTTTATGCTTATTTTTTCCAAGGTTGGACTGTGGTTAAAGGAGATTTTTATATTAATTAAAAGTGTGAGCGAAATCACTTCAGTCCTTTATAAGTTACCCAAAGGAGGACCGAAGAAGGCTATCCCTACTGTAGAAACAAAGCAAATTGCACTCATTGAACAAGGTGACAGCAAATTCACGCATTGTTTGTGTACTTCTCACCTGTACTGAGTCTGTTGCTTTTGACTGGTTTGGGTGGCATACTTTAAAAATAAAAAGATCAGCTTTTTATTGAGGGTGATCAGGATCTGCTGGGATCAAGCCCTTATTTTATATAAAGTATATTTAAGTTGTATTATAATAGCAGCAATTTAATTTCCCTTCTGCTTTCCTTGGCAATAATAATCCATTTCCCTCCTTGTGAGTGAGTAACTCAGCCCTTGGATGTGGACTGTAGTTTATCCAGCTGAGAAGCATATTATTGCCCTGTAAAACAAGAGGGGAAATGATATGAAAACCAGTATATTCCACTGCTATAATTCAAAACTTCTTGACTATTAGTCCTGCCCCTGCCACTGAGCCACTGTGTGGCCTTGGGAAATCTCTAGGCTTGATTCTTCTCTCAGTTACGTTATCGAAGCAGTGGAATTCGATTAATAAATAAATAAAGCCAATATGCTTATAATGAAAGTCATACCTACTTACCTGCCTGTTTCAGAGGGATGTTAGTGTTTGTCCAGTAATTGATAAAATTGCTTAAGTGGATGAGTGCGTTTATCAACCGCATCACCCTGTCAATAATTTTAGGTAGCCTGCTGCCAAACTCTAAAAAGGAAATGCATTGCCTATATTTTTGGCTCCTCCTTTATTCTTTAACACTGTTCTTCAGTGCTGTTGAAGAGCTGCTGCTCTATTACACTACAAAAGTGGCACCTTACTTTGGAGCATGAAGTTATTCCTACACAGTTTGTACTCCAGTTTGTGCCTTTTATAAAGTGGTGAGGGTCCTTTGGGATGTGATACAGGCATAGTACAAGACTCAAACTAGGAACAGAATAATACATGAAGGAAGATGTGTCTGAGCACTGATAACAGTGGTTTTGTGGATCCTCTGGGATATGCTGTACTTCCCTGATTTAACTTGGTTTCCTACCAGCTCCCCTCTCAGTCTTCCTGGAGGCAGCACTGCCTGGCTGTGACTTCTCAAGGCATCATTTTGGCAAAGTGAGTTTTTTCTCTCCTTCCTTCTTTAGCACTCCAAGTCAAAGTGCACTGAAACCAACTGGAATGGAGACTGGATAAGGCCCTTTACCATCTGTTTTTTTCTCCTGGTATCATAAGGTAAGAGAATTCCTGTATCCATAGCTCTTTCAAGACATGGCCTCAAGATCCCCCTGCAACCATATCTACCCATCCCCTTGCCCATTTCCCCCACAAAGTTGTTGTTTATTATGTCTTCCCATAATATTCTTCTTTAGTAATCTTGGCTGTAGCATTCCCTACCCCCAAATGCTAGATTATGCCTTGTGATCAAGTAATGGCAGCTGGATAACAATGTTTTTCAACTTCCACACTTTTGTATATGTAGTGTACTTTATCATTGACCATCCTGTGGCAGGCTATTGGGAGCCTGCTCCTATACTTTCTCAGTGTGCTTCAAAGCAGGCCTTACATGCATTATATAGGCCTGAATGACCACAACTCTTAAGTATTTTGTAGCTAAATCCCATTTTCAGGCATATGATAGAAGAGTTCTCTGCTGACTGGTTCTAACTTACCTGTATGTATCGTTACCCAAATAATTAGAATAATCATTCTAATTTTATTTAGACCCATCTTGGTGTATATAATAGCTTTACCTTCTCTTCTTCTGTCTTGTTTATGTCCCCTTCAGCACCCTGCTCTGAAAGCCAGATACACCACAATGGGGTTTTTTCCTTGTAACAAAAAACATTTTTATAATCATTTTGCTGTTTGTTATCATTTCATGACTCTCTGAGCTCTGGTTGTGCTGGATCTCTTGCTTAGTCCCTCCCATAGCTCAGCCTTCAGTGCCTCACTAAGGCTAGGGACAGACATTCAAAAAGCCTGAGCCTGAATTGATTCAATCTTTACAGGTTAGTCTAACCTGCAAAGCTTGAACCGATTTGGAGGTGGATAGACATTCCCCTTTCTAGGAATGTCAGGCTAGTTCTCAGTGGGGTGCCAGGGGGCACTTGAGCAGCCCTCCCTCCTCTTCCACAATGCTGAGCTGAGGGGGGCTTGGCAGGATGCTCTGATTAGAAAGGGCCCACCCCCCCATTGATAACCGAGCATTTATCACCTCTGTTACCAGCATTAACATCCCGTCAGAAAAGAAAGTCTCTCTCATTAGTTCAAGCTCTTTTTAAACAGCTTTTTCCAAGGAAGGAACCTTACCAGCAACCTGCTGATTAGCTCCAAGAAGGTGTAAGTGGACACTGTCCTGTCTGCCTTCCACAGACACCTCTCAGCCACATGCTGGCTATGGTCCGTGCTGTGGGAGAGAGGAGGGAGGGATCTGTGCTTGAGCAGTGAGTGGTGGTGGTGGTGGGGTGGGGATAGGGCAGAGATAGGGCGGAGATAGGCAGACACTGTTGTGCCTGCAAGTCTCTGCCAGAGCTTTAGCCAGGGAGCAGAGCGGAGGGGCCAGCCCAGCTCCCTGGAGCCCCCAGCCCAGCCAGGATGCTGAGGGACTCTGGTTTAACTTAAACCAGGAAGGGGTCTGGGACAGACACTGCATACACCAGTTTGACCCCAAATTAGTTAAGTCTGATACTACATTTAACCAGGTTTATCTCAAACTGGTTTCAGCCATTTTCAAACTGGTTTATGTACAATGAACTTCTGTTCTGTTACAGATTTAAACCAGCTTCTGATCACTTAAACTGATTTAAGTGTAATGTCTGTCCCTAGCCTAAGAGTTAATGAAGTAGACACAACTGATTAACTAGCATCTATGCCTTATCAGGGCCTGTGTTGGTTCCTGAGCCTGTAGGATGCCGTATTGGCAGACCCTTGTTTTCATTTGGGCTCTGCCAACCTGTCACCCCCAAACTGAACAGCTTAGACACATCATTTATGACTTCTAACCCTTCCTGGGAAGTGGCAACCATCTCAGGATAGCCATGGGGGACAAACCCATTCTGGCTTACAGATACCACCCCCAACCTGCAACAGTGTCTCTCAAGCAAGAATACCTAATGCCTATGCCTATTCTTTCCAAGGTATCAGATCTTGTTCTGGACCCAGATGCCAGCTGTACCTCCTCATCAATACAGATTGCATCATCACTAGATCAGATAACATGGATTATGACATCTAAGGTTCATTCATCTGTCCTCTGCCATCGTACACACCTTTACCTGCTTACAGTCCCCTTTGCTGTTGACGGTGTACAGACAGGGTGGTCCCAACATGAAAGAATGCACACCAATTCTGACATAGATGTCAAAAAACACACAAGCCTGTGGCAGAACACTTTATCCTCCCTGGACATTACATCACTGACCTCAGAGTAGATGTTCTTAGCCAACAAAACTAAAAGTCAGCTTGAACAGGAAATTGCGGACCAAGGAATCCACAGACTGGATTATATTAAGTATGGTCTAAAGACTGGATTCTTATCCCACTACCTGGATTGGTTTTTAATAACTCCTCAGTGTCCCTCAGTGAGTTACCTGCTTTGTTTTTCACTCTTCTACCCACTTCGCCTCTCTCAGCAGTACCTGCTCCTTTTTCCACTCTCTTCCCTTCCCTTTGTATTCTAATCACTTTATACTTAGAAGCTCTGCTTCCTGCTATGCTTCCCTTCATAGCATCTGCTGAAGTAAGCTGCTATTTATGAAAGCTTATGCATCTCTGATTTAGTTATCCTATAAGGTACAAATATATTCTGCTTTTGCCTGACTCCAGACTAACATGGCTAACAACCTGTCTGCATGAGAACAAGGATCTGCCTGCAGAGAGGTCCCAGTTCATTGAAATATCCCTAGCTTGGAGATGGTGTTGGAAGACTGTACTTAACTTTAAGGGCACGTTTAAGGTCCACTAAACTCAGCAGGATAGAAGCATGTGTTCACAGTCAAGCATGTGTTTAAAGTACTCCCTTGAATGGGGATAGACGTCAATACTTGCTGAAGTACTCTTTGGATTTGCGTCTGGAATCATCCACAGGATTAGGACCAGAGATTTTAAGTGCCTAAGTTCAAGGACCAAGTGTTTCTTTGTGCTGACACCACACTTCCTGAGAACTAAAATAAAGGACAGAAAAGGAATAGTACTGATGTGTCAGCAGCATTGAAGGACCTGGAATAAGAAGCCATTTCTTGGTGACACTGCTTTAAATAAGCCACTCTATGCATTAACCGTTTCTTAGTTTAATGTAATTTTAATGTTGTACAATATTGTGCCTATATCCAGTTAAATGCTTAGCTAAATAATGCAGCCTCCTGCCTTAAATTCTTTGTGTATGCCTGACAAACTCTTTTTATACTAGAATATGTGTAAACAAAGGCCAGCATTTTATATTACAATGGACTGTTAGTAAAGAAATCTGGATGTTTTCATTCCATCTGATGCAGCTCGTCTTCCTTTTAATGTCCAGGGAAGGCTTCTGCTTTATTTATTTATAAAAGACAATCTTCAGAGCAATTTACGTAATTTCTTTGCAACGCTGAAGTCCAGGTATTCATCCAGAAAGCTATTAGCAATCCCAGCTGTACCCAGTGCCAGCAACATGATTAGAACCACCAGAGTCAAAGAAAAACCTGTTAACCTGGAGGATGGAAACAGAAAGCAATAGTATTACCAGAGGTTCACACTATGTCTGTTGTGAAATGCTTTGGTGCCCACCACTTGGTGAGAGCTGTGCAGGACTGAAATGAGCCACTGATTAAACAAGCTGACAAAACATCTCATTTTCATCAGAAGGTTTGGGGGGGGCGGATTTGCAGGAAAAAACAGCAAATGAAATGACAACGGTGATGCTATTTCCCTTCCAGATAGTTGCGTGAAAATGTGCTGTTTGGCCCAAGGTGGGATTTACCATTCCACAGCTTGAACAACAATGACTAAAGCCATAGAGGTTATGTCTGTACTGTCTCCGCAGCAATCCCTATACATGCTGCGTGCTCAGAATCTGGACTTAACAAAGGCATTTGGTTAACCACATGCACTACTAGCTCCCTGAGTTCATGTGCTGTGGTCAATCAACTTGTGTGGGCTTTTACAGCTCCAGAGGGACCACATAAAAGTCTCAAAGCTTCCCAC